CTACCCCTGGACATGTATCTACCTAAAAGCCTCCTGAGTCTGTGAAACCCTGATCAAGAGTCCCACAACTCAGTCTGCACATAAAATCATCAATTCAATCAGAATTAACCACATTATAAACAGATATTACTGTTCACCTAATAAAAGACGATACAATGTGTAGTGTCTTTAAAAGTCAGTAGTAAACTACCCCAATAAATTTCTTCCAAGTTCACAGCTTAGTCGTTCAGTTCATCGAAAAGCCATTTGTGATTTTGTTTATTACACATGCAGTACAGATTATGGTAAGGCAATATGCCTGAAAAATGTATCCCAAAAAGCATTTTAATCAATAATTAGTGATTAGTTTATTTTTTTGTTTTACCTAYTTAAAATAAAGACCATGAAAAAAAAAGACTGCAATCATTTTCTCCTTTTGATGCCACCAAACATGCTTAGCTGGGCTGTGTGAGGTCGAGCACCTAAAGCCTTTCTTTGCCTACATCCCCAGATTGTCATGCAGTTCTGGATCAGATTGATGAATTTTCTATTGATATTGATCGTTTGTCTACTGTGATGCATATCGTTATTGTTTAGTTGCTCTGCCCTAGTACAGGTATAGTTATTTCACATCCCTTAATAGTACAACTGGTCGTGAAAGTAACTACTCTAAACTGCGGTGGAGGTACAGAGACCAATTCAAACTTTTGGAAAGTCCACATCACTCTGGACATTACCGTTGTTCCTCTTCAGATTTTGCAGAGTAAGCACAGTATTACGCACCCAATACTATTACGCCACTTTAGTTTGATCAATACTTCACAGTGGCCTTATAGGACTGTTTCCTTTACGCAGAAAGCATTTCATCAGGCTATTGCCCAACAGTTCAGACTTGGCAGAATGTATGTTGGACCACTAGGTTTTACTAAGTACATCAGATTTTCATTGTAATACGATACGCTGCCCAAACAGGCTCACTTTATGAGACTTTCCGAGCATTGATTTCCCAGTTTAACAGTTACGGCTATTAAGCTGTGACTCAGTGTGCGTATACATTTGTCATCATCACTTCTCAATAAAAACAGTGCAAAACATGATGAACTTGTCTGTCAGTCTCTTTACATAATTTTCAACCGAAACTTTGTCTCACTACGTGAAATTATTTTCAATGTTTAAGCAACAGTTACAAAAGTAACAGAAAAACCATACAGCAGGGGTCCCCAAACATTTTCCTGTAAGGGCCACATAACTTTTCCCTTCTCTGGTGGGGGGCCGGAGTCAGTTTGTAACACAAAAAATTGTGACTATTGCAGGAGTGCCTAAATGTAAAAATTTATTGTTTTCCAGAAAGCACAATCAAATAAMCCTCTCTGGGTTCTTCACAGTATGTATTCTGCTGAGCTAACAGTCCACTTTTTAGCTTTGAGAGTTTGTTTGCACGCATTTGGCCTTGCAAGCTATCATACTTGTCTTTGTGACGGGATTCAGTGTCGCCGCAGATTGTATTCTTTGAATACCGCCAYCGCCGCTTGACAGATGTACAAAAAATAATAATAATCGTTTGTCCATTGCAGCTTAAATGCCCTGCATTCTGAATCAATTTTTCTTACCTAATCTCTTTGCCATTATTCCGTTCTCTCTTTGAGAGGGGCGGGTTTAGGATTTTTTTCTGGGGGTTGCCAGATAGGGACACAGACCGCAGAAGGGTGGAACAGAATGTCATGTTATATGCGTGTATGTATGAAATAGTTACTAACTAATAATAGTTAATAATGAAAATAGTTCATAACTAAGGAACATTTTATTGCAAAAGTCCAACTTTATAATCAAATATAAATACACATATATGAAAAAAAAAACAACCTAAATGCTCTCTGGTATTGTTCTGGGGGCCAGACCAAATGGGGAGGCGGGCCGGATCCGGCCCGCGGGCCGTAGTTTGGGGACCACTGCCATAGAGCTTAGTACCGTTTTGTTGTAAATGAGTACTAATTTCTTTTACCTTTCCAGTAATTACCTAATTTCCCTCTGGGATCAATAAAGTATTTTTGAATTGAATTGAATTGAATTACTGGTAAAGAACTGTTATTTTTTTCAAAGATTTTTTATTATTTTTAACATAAAACACATGGTAAAGAACTGTTTTTAAAGGAATATGTTTTTTTCATATTTATTTCTATCTTTTTCTTATTTGCTTAAAGGCTCCGTCCTGTAAGCTAAAAATGTGCATTTCATCTTCTCTTAATTGCTCTCTTATTTTAATGGGTTCATAACTCTACTGCACATAATAGAGTATTTTCACACCACAAAGGGTTTGGAAGCCAAAAACAAGACAAATATTTTAAAAAAGCATGAAGAAATCGTTTTTTCTCCAACACCCTTTGCTGTGGAATAAACCACTGACATTGTGTGGTCATGGTATGAGATGACCCAGGGGCAGTGAAAGAATTTCAGAAACTTTAAAAACAGGTCTTAGGTCAGTAATTTTTTGTTTTTTTACAAGTCTTTGTAGTATTCTCCCTTCAGGGCACTACAGAGCCCAAAGAGAAAAGGCATCAATGCCACACTAAAATGAACACCATTCACATGACATAAGGAGCTGCAAGGCATCCTCTAAGGATATTTGAATACTTGAAACATCAGTGACCCTTCATATAATAAAGGGGAGGTAGATAAGAAAAATATTGACAGGCAGGCTGTTTGAGAGGAGTTTAAGAAGCTGCTTAGACAACCCACACTCTTTGCCAAAGACCTTGCTCTAAACTTGAACCAAACAGAGTGCAAAAAGGAAAGACTCCATTTAAAATTCCTCTACACCATTAAGCTGCTATTTTCCATCTTTCATCTATACATTTTTCAATATTTATTTATTAACTTATTTGCTTTTAATACACCAAATAACCTCAAAGCATAAATATTAATAAATTCTATGGTACTGATCGACGCATTGTTCTGTACAATGCTTGGTCAAGGTCTTTCACATCATGCAAAAGACAGTGCTTAATGTAGCTTAAAAAAAGGCCTCGGGAAGCATCTTCCGTCAAATATGCTTTATAAAAGAAAAAGTGCAAATTTTTTTTTTTGTTCTCTGTGAAAACCCAAAGGCAAGATGACTGCTAAAATGGTCAGATGACAAATGTCTCATCTGATCTTTAACGCTGTGGAAGGGCCAGCCAGCTTCAGGGCTAAAACAGGAAACTCTCACAGGACTGAGTGATTTGGTAAATTCCAGCGCGCTAAATCACTGCTCTGAGTGCAGCAGATTTCTCTGCATCAATGAACTGCTTTTAAGCTAGAACTCTGAATATCTTTGAAGCAGGAAAAATTCATTAATAAAACTGAAATGACCAAAACAATATATGACTATATATGTCTGACACCTGTCATGAAATGATGATAATGTGCTGCTCTTTGGTAATAAAGTGAAATAACTCTTTTCTCAGAAGTTACATAAATAGATCAGATATAACTGAACATTAATTACCAGGCTGCACCTGCTAAATCCAAACAACAGAACAAAGATACATTTCCAATTCTTGTCTTGTACCTCCTAAAAGCTGAAAATCGGGAGATGTACTGACAGAAATCCTTCACCACAGACTGATTGTCAGCCATTTTCTGACCATGGGGTTCGTGACACATTCCCTGATTATCAACTTCACAGAGCAAGCCAGTGCTCATCTCAATCACCTGATGAGTCAAGCCTGTAGGCTCTGACGATGATCAAATGTGGCAACACAGAACTGAGTAATAATTGGGTCAACAAGGTATGTCAGCTCCCACTAACTCCTGTTTGAATCATCTTTCTTTGTTGTAGACAAACGTGATGGCATGACACTTTAAATATGTGACTGTGATGGGCAGCGACAGCAACGTTCCACTGGATGCAGCTTCACTCCTACACGTTTCCCCCCAAATTTTTGGATTTGTTAGAATGAAGACTCCATGCATACCTGATTTTTAACATGGTTGCTCCACCTTTGGATAATAATTCTAATTTTTATCTTCCTCAAGTATAAATATTACATAATGCTTAAGTATAAATTAATAAACAGAATCAATTATAATCAACAGACATCACAGGTTCCAACAAAACCAATATTTATATTAATTTTTACAGCTTTTGCAAGACTCATTAAGGAATTACAAAAAGAAGGTAGTTAATAAATAAAAAAGGTCAACATTTCACCTAAACTTTTAACTTTGTTGATACATTTGTGTTGCTCTTTTGAATACAAAAAATAAAAATCAGTGCTGATCCCTGAAAAAATTTGCTGACCTTGTGTCTTCACACTAAAATTAATGTGGAATAGTCTGTTCCACAAGTTATAATTTAGAAGTGCCTTTTAAATACTTAAGTGCAATTATGGAAAATGTTATATCATGATAATAATCATGAAGTACTTTAGTTAAGCATGCACGATACACTGAATTTAAGCTTGTTTTTACAGATACATCACATGACAGCGTTTTTATTTCTTTACTGAAGAGGTACTGTATAAGCAAAGGGCACAAATACACATGATGAGAATCAACAATAATGAAGAATATATTGTAAAAGACTGGGTTGTTCAGTCGTACACACCAGAGAAAGTTTTTAAACACTGCTGCACATTAAATCAGTGAAGCATGAACACAAGCAATCCATCACATGTTTAAGCTGCATGAATTTCTTGTGCCGAAAATTAATTTAGGACACAGTTGTCAACACATCGTCATTACATGGCTACAGCGATACTGTTATCGTTCACTGACAGTGTCGATTGTGTAATTTTAAGGTAGTTTGAGTTAGCAAAACAGCATGCTAGCTGGCTAACAGGCAAAGCTAGCGGTGAACTTCCTACGAACTTTAAAAAGCGCGTGCCCAAACTCAAAATGTAACAAAAAAGTCATAGTTGTGAGTTTTGTGAGTCCGCTAGCTCCTCGACAAGTTAAACATACAGGTGACGACGGTTTATATTAAGTTTATCAGCTGTATTTTTATTTTAAAAGTTCACTGTCAGCGCTGTCCCAGTACTTACCAGGAAGTGGGAATCTGTTGCTAAGCTAGTCCTCCTTCACAACTTTCCTCCGAAGCGACTTTGATTTCTTCGTGACTTTCTCTTTCTTGCCAAGGTCGTAACAAAAGTTGACTAGACAGGCCTCCCTTTCTTGCGTGGCACTTGTCTGTACACTACGAGKTTTTTTTTTCCCACCAACCACACAGAGAGCGCCTGTGCTGTGGAGTCAGACGTGCTTTCACAGAGTCCARTAAAAAAGGCCCACACCGCTGATCCTGTAATGTAAACACCACAGAGATCCCGGTGGGAAGCAGTCAAATCTCGCGAGATCTAACCGAAAACTTGCAAGATTACAAACTGGACATTTTTCAACTAAAAAGACACTTTCCTTTTTAAATTGGTGAGCTCTCTCTCTCGTTTTTATTTTTAGAGTCWGTGTAAATCTGTTTATAAATGATAAATGAAACAGGTGAAACTGATTTTGTCTGAGCTGAAGAGATGTTTTTTTCTTTCTTTCTGCAGGAAAAGATGAAGATACAGTTTGGTTAATTGAAGCTACATAGAGGTTTGTTGTTTCAGATGTTTTTTGTTTATCAAATTGCAAAGAAGCAAATTGTATTTTTTGTGAAAATGTAATGCAAATTCAGTCCTGTGACTTGCAACCTGTCCACGGTGTACGGGGCACCACCAGTGACCCTGACAGGAAGACACAGATTAAGATAATGGATGGATGGATAGTGCTGATAATTAAAATATAATCACAGACTGTATATAAAATGTTCACTTCCTCTTTTCTGTACCTGTTTAATCTTGTGGGAGGTTGTGGGGAGCTGGTGCAGTCTATAGCAAAGCCAATTTAGGGCAAATCAGAACATCCAAATAGCCAAACATTTTGTTTTCTAGACAGAAAACCAGAGAAACCACTGGAAACTCATGAACACAATGTTGATGAGTCCATGTATCACATATTGTTCTGGAATCAGACAAAACCTAACCTCTTGGAACTAGACTATTTTGATAAATGGGGTTGTCATTATATGTTAATGCAATTTGTCAGCTGCAACTTGTGCAATTTATAGTTAGTTCCATGGAAAAATCATTGGTTTTATTATTTTTATGCACCTGAATGGATTTGTTGCAGAAACTGCCAATTTGACGCTCAGTGGACTGCAAGTCCAGATAAGAAAATCTGCTTTTCTTGGTGGCTTGGTCAAACAAACTTTTAGTTTCTGAAGGTGGTGCTTGTATGTAGCATCCAGAAGATGTTGGATTCTGTTTAGGTCAGATTTGAGGTGGATAAGAAACTTTACATCAGTCGTATAATAAGTCAATAGATTTTGTCCACAACTATTTTTCCAAAGTTAGAAAAACAGGCTTTTTTTATTATTATTATTATTTTTGGATGTGATAATATTTTTGAGTTCATCAATTATTCATCCCACATTTAAAAATATTTCAAAAGGGCTCAAAATATTAGAAATAAATGAAAAAGTGCTGTTTAGTGTTGAAAATCATAATATGCATATCAGAAAATCTGTAAAGATAATGTATAGTGAGCTTTAACTTGACAAATAACTCCATAGCTGTAATGTTTGGCTGTTTTTACAGTAAACAACCAAATTTATGTAGAAATTTATGGAAGCAGACCAGATTTTAAAAGGGATTTATTAAAAAAAACACATTCACATTAACATGAAGTAATATATTCTGATAGTCTAATCTTGTTAAAAATATTTAAAAATGTGTTGAGGACGTGTGAAAAGTCCATTAGTGTCTATGTGTGAAAGAAAGGAGGTTTACTGATACTCATAGTCATACAAACGCGCATGCAGAATTTCTGCACGTCCCATGACGTGCACACCGTCTCTAATTGGGAAAATTAAGAGCATTTTTTGACAGTAACAGTATTGCAGTTTGGTTTGCGTGGACAGTGGGACTTTGCTTTGATAAAAGCGTCGACGCTGATCTCGGGATGACAATTTAAACACAGGAAACACGTCTTTCTTCTTCCCATTCATCGCTGTTAATAATCAACAAGTTACGTGTGCTTGTGTTTTTTTTCCTCCGCCGCTCACTTCAATAGGCGTTTTTGTTAACCTCAGTGCAAATACGGAAAAAGGAAGAGATGCCTGGAGTGTGTGATCCCCCCCCCCTCTTTTTTTTCTTCAACAACAGTTGAAGATTAAAAGAAATGTCTCACAGAAATCTGTCAATTCTGTATGTGAATAATGCTGTGTGGAATTTAATGGCACGAGTTATATTGAGTTTCCGCTACACCCACATTTTCTTTCAATAAGATCAATGCTGCTCTGTGACAGATAGGGACGGTCTTTTGTATCTTCAAAATTCAGGTTTCTGAGGGAATAATTAGATGGATGGATGAAAAGTAATGCATCAGTGTGCAAGGGGAGCTGCACCCAGAAATCCTCCAGTTCAACACGCGTGTCTYCACGCCTGTTTGGTGGAAAACTGTTTAATAATCGTGTTGTATTTCCATTGTTCTAAAAGCGGTTCTCACCACTGATCTGGCGCTTTAAGCCAATGGCAAACTTTTTTGTGTTCCTTTTTTCTTTTTTGCAGAAATTTTGATTTAGCGGAGAGGATTTCCATTTGATTTGAGTATGTTTCTTTTTTAGCATGAGAAGTATTGTCATGTGTTTCGCTCTGTTCCTCTTCAAACTTTCTGGTGTCGCTCGCAGGTATCCAGGGTGGGAAAGGTTCTTCCTTCGGGGGAAATACCAGTGGTTGAATCATAGAGTTGATATAGAGATGTTTTAGGCATTTTACTGTACATGTGACATCTAACTTTCATGTTTTAAACTAAACTTAGCACAAAAAAGTACAAACGTTTGTGTTTGGTGGACTATTTCGTTGCTGTAACAATGCTTCTTGTCAACAAATCTTGTACCACTGGAAAACCTGTAAACTTCCTTTTTAAATGGTGCCACGTTTGTAAGGAACATGCATTTGTGGGATGATTTTGTTGTACATATTGATGCTTGTTTTGAGCTTCTGATACCCCCAGGTGCTACCAATCAGGTGCCCAGAAAAAGATTTATTGACAAGATGCTTTGTTACAACCAGAGGTGTGTAGAGTAACGTAGCACTACTTCAACATATTTTACTCAAGTAAAACTAAAAAATTAGCCATCTAACAAATTACTCAAGTAAGAGTAAACAGTGTTTTGTAAAAAGGCTGAGTAACTGATTATAACATTTGATTTAATATTTTTAAAAGATGTCATCATGCTGACAAAAAGTAGAAAGTTATCGGTAGGTGCAAATTCTGATGCTTTTAATGACTAGAATTAAGAAAACAACTCCAAATTAATCACAGGGCAACAAAATAATTTCTATCAGAAGAAACACTTTTCCAAGTCTAATTTTTACCATTATGAAACTTATGAAACTAATTTTTGCAATAGGTATTACAAACAGCGGGTAAAATAAGTATTGAACACGTCAACATTTTTCTCAGTAAATATATTACTAGAGGGGCTAATGACATGAAATTTTCACCAGATGTTGGTAACAACCCAAGTGATCCATACATACAAAGAA